ACGAATGCCAAGCTATTATGCAGCCCCATTCCCTCTACGCTGAAATTATCGTCGAAGGCGAAAGACAGGAAGTTCTGCTCTTCGGGTCCCGCCTGAAGTTCTTCGGCACGTCAAACTTCCTGCAAGATCTCGCGATCTACATCGGTTACGCCGAGGTAAGAGCGCTGCCATCGATTAAGCCTCGGGAAACTCTTCCGCCGCGATCCCTCCAACGGAACGGTTTTTCCCCGAAGCCCCGCGACGTATACTCTCGATTGAACCTTCTCCCGCTTCACAGAATGGGACGACGTTTACAGCGATCAGAGCTGAGGAAAAAGCCTACGGTTTCTGCTGCAATCCCTGTGATTACGTTCAACCGATTCATAAAACCCGATGGATCCCGGAGCAACCCCAGCAGCAGCAGCAGCAAATGCTCTCATTGAAAGCAGGTAAGTAAGCTTCCCTCCATGCTTGACGAAGTGCGGAACGCATCAGCGGGGAATCGACTCCAGTTCGCGGAGGGTACATCTCGAGCAGTAATCTGGCTCAGGATAGACTCCGGTCGGGTGGTCAAACCACGATTCTAGAACCCTAGGCGAAACACGATGTGAAGCACTTCCATTAGAAGAGCCTCGACGGAGAATTGGCTTGTTTCGAAAGTATCCCGAAACGAAGACCAGGAGAAACGCCGAGTCCTTTAACGTTCGGATCACCGCGCAGGGGGCCGTGAGCACACCTTCACACTGAGCGTCATGGAAGCTTCCGGGGACAAAATCAGCCAATCGGGGAAACTAGTCGTTGACGATAAAGTTTTCGTGATGCAGAATATCTGTTTTGACCTCCCAAGATGCCCCACACCCCACGAGGGAAAGAACGAGCTGTGAGTTTCCATCGTGCATCAATGCAGCTCTAATATCTTGAGTATCCATCTTAAACTCCATGGGCGACCTTTCCAGGGTCAAACTGCTCGAGTTCCCTCAGAACCAGAGCTCCGAGTTGATTTTGAGCACAGCTGACGTTCATTGTAAAAACCCCGAGCTCGCTGGTGGGAAGGGGAGTTCCCTGGCTGTTTTGAAAGGATTCGCTGAGCGCTTCAAAACGGTACGAAAAGCCAATAATGTCCGGCCACGGCTTTTCCAAGAGAGGAAATCTAATTTCCTGAATCGGAATAATTCCAGTTCACGGTTCCCCCCGCTATTGTGTTGACGGTGAACTCCTACAAAATATTCTCCGAAACTCCAAATGTTTCGAAGGCGATCGGTGCCTTCCTGAGTAAGAACATGAACGCCGACATGGGTGCTCTGAAAATAGCGTCGGAAGAATGCGTTGCCGAGATCTCAGCCGTCGCTCTACCCTCGTCCATCCAAGCTCAAGTGAGTGCTCAGAAAAGACTGAGATAGTCTTCAGGCTCAATCTGAGGAGTCCTTAAGACTGGACTCGGAGCCGGAACGTCTCGGCCTGGAATTCCATACGAAAGTTTACACTGGGAAGAGGCCAGAAGATCTAGCTCCCAGAGCTCGGACGAAGGTTCGGGACCGTCTGCGATTGATTTTAGAAGACTTCGAGAAGACAGCTGTAATCGTTCCGAATCCTCGCCTTACAGCTCGTGGAGAGACTCCGTGCTGTTTTTGGTCCTGAATGGTTCCTGAAGAGATTCGCTGTCAGATCCTCAGCAGTCGGCGAGGACTCTGAAGAAATGTCGGCAGCTGGACAAATGACCTCATACCTGGGAGTTAAAGGGGAAGGCAAGATCTCTTCAGCCGTAGTCAAATGCTGGGCGTCTCAATTCGCTCTTACCGGTGAGCTATCAGAATGGCTTCGCATGTGACACAGTTCTCGATCTCGAGAGTTCTCTAAACCATATTCACTCGGATCATTTCCAGCTTTCAACTATAAACGCCAATACGGGCAGGAATTGAACAGCTTGATGGCAGTCGTAGTGCAGGAGATGGTCAGCGCTGACAGCGCCGGAGTCATGTTCACCTGTGACCCTGCAACGTCGAACCCATCCAGTATTTTTATAACGGCGAACTACGGACTCGGTGAATCCGTCGTTGCCGCCACGGCCGACGCTGACTCTTATTCCCTGCGCCGAAATGGCGCCGACATAGTCCTAGTTGCGAAGTCGGTAAGCCTGTATGAGCATATGTGGGCATGCCTCGACGGCAGGTTCGGCAAGTTCCTTTGGCAGCTTGCGTGCAGGACATCGGGCGATCCCATTCGGTATTTTCGAATCGTTTTACCATCCAATAGAGAAGATGGCTCAATGAGCTCAAATTTCCAGTGTGGCGCGAAGGATCGCATTGTGATCGAATCGGACTCGGGAGACGGTACTGAAGAAAAAGCCCTCGCAGCGGATAGATCGGGGACTTTCTGCTTGTCAGATGAAGCCGCTGTTGGACTCGCTTCGATCGGTGCCGCGGTATGCCGTTTCAAATCACAAGAGGATATCACAAGCGAACAGATATTCAATGCTCGAAGTTACAAAGACGGACGCTTATATTCCCTTCTCGAATCAATTCCTTTTTCAGTTGAGTGACGCAACGGATACACCTCGTGACATCGAATGGGCGATTCAAGGAGGGCGGACATTTCTCCTCCAATCTCGGCCGGTGACATCTTTCCTTCAAGAAAGTGACTTCGAGATCGAGAATGATTACAACACAGGACTTTATACCAAACGCGAAGTTCTCACGCGAGCCAACTTCGAGTAAGCCCTCCGTCGGTTCCCCGCTGTCCCTTTCCGCCTCGAGAAAGATCGTGAGGATTTTCCGCAGCGGAGGTCGAGTAGGGCACGATACAGCAAATATATTATCGAGGGAAACGAAAACTGAACCGGACGGATTTCTCGAATTTCCAGCGAGGTGATGCCAGGCGCCTTCTCCACACTTGGGCTTTCCACAGTTTTCAAATTGCTGCTCGAAGGTACAGCCAGAACGAGACCCGAGTTCGGATACACGGATAAGAGTCAATTCACCTCCCTCCAAAGCGTCATCCACGGCAAGAAGACCTTCATGAACTTCTCGCAAGTCAGTCTTTCACCATCAGAGTTGAAGGGGAAGAGTCGTTAATTTGAGCAGCCTTGAGCCTTATATCGTTCCTGGAATTCAGTTGAAGGCTCTGGCCAAGAACAAAAACATGATGAAATCGCTGGGAATCACCTCATACGGTTACGACATCCGTGAGCATGACGCAATGAAAAATGGCATTTTCCACGGACCCGGAGCTTCGGTCAAAGGCTGGAGCTTCGTCAGAACAGTGCTCGGTGTGAGTTCGATTCGCCGCTTCATCGAAGAGTTTCCGATTATTCTTGGACAATCCATCGGTCTATTTTCATCTTTGAGGATCTCCGAGAGCGATACTGATGCATGGAACTGCAATTGACTTTCAAGGCGATCTGGAATATCAAGAAAAACGTGAAGGAAATCCAAGACTCGACCGACAGAGCGACCTTCGATGTACCAGAAGGAGGAGATTGTTTGTCTCAGTTCATGAACGTCCTCGGTAAAGTTCCGAAAATGGATTTCTTCATGGACGGGCTCATGAAAACATCCTACCCATCGGCTCTCTACAACATACTTACGCTCAACATTTTGAAGAAGAGTCAAGGTCTGGAGGACTTCTCTGCTGATCTGATGCTATTGCTGTCGAGACTTCTACGGTCCGACCTCGAGGTGGAGAGTGCGATTATCGCGGATGAGCTGACGGTAATAATTTGAGGCTTCGATGAGGCCACAGTTTGTCAATATGTATAAGATAGATCAAGGACGATTGTTCCGAGAATCCGTGAAGACGACTCGATTTATTTCAAGACGCTATCGAACTCGCTCCGGAAAGATCCGATGGCTGATGAATTCTTGAAAATGACTGCGGAAGAAGCCGTGGCGTGGCTGGAAGCTGATCAGGGAGAAGCTGCTCGGCGATTCAGGACCCTACGATCGAAGCACGCACATCGCTGCTATAAGGAGCTTGACATTCATTCGAAGACTTGGGACATCGATCCCATTCCACTCGTCGAGACCTTGAAGTCCAGCATGCGATGTCCGGAGGAGGGCGATCGGAGAAAGGCAGAACAGTCTATGACCGTCGATGAGCTCCCGAAAAGACCGAATATCATGCAAAGGAAGATTCTGGATTATTTGATCCCCAGAGCGCAATACGCGGTCTATGCTCGAGAAGCTGCGAAATCCGGGGTCGTGAAATGCATCCATGGGCTCCGTCTCGCAATGCGCCAAGTCGCTCTACGACTTCATTCCGAAGGAAGGTTGCCGGACCCGGAGTTGATATTCTTCCTCAGCTGCGACGAGATTTATCGGCTCATCAAAAACCGTGATCCGTCCTTGCTACCGAGGTAGGGCATAGGAGGATTAATTTTGGTTTTATTGCGCAGAGAGAACATACAATACGATCGATTACATCGTCTTCCCCACAGAGCCCGCCGTAGACAGAAAATGCACCTCAAACTCGATAGGGAGCGCTTCCCGGTCCTTCTGTACGGAATCCCAAGACCTGTGAGTGTGGAAACTTGTGTTTTCTGATTATCATGTAATATCTATGACCGAAATGCCAATCTTGCCTTCCGTCTTCGGCCAGATCGATTCCTCGACCATGACGATCAACTCCGATGCTCCATGCTTGGAGGGTGTTCCAGTCAGTCAGGGCGTCGTCCGAGGCCCAGCACGTGTCATCCTTGACTTTTCCACTGAGGCGCAGGGGATCGCGAGAGGAGACATCCTCGTCACCCGAGCAACTGATACAGGTGACTTTAAAGGGCTGGTGAACGAATGGGATGAGTTCACTGCGATGTATTTCATCTACAGCAGAAAACGGTTCCGCTGATGATTCGAGTATTCCTGCCTCCCAATTCGTTCCTGAGCGAGTTCTATGGAGAAGAACGTTCTTCCTCCCATAGGATGTTGTCAGCAGATGGAGCTCGCCGAAAAAAATGCCATTTCATTCTTTTTCAGGATGGACTCCGTATTTCCCCCTCCTAGCCGGCGTGGTCACCGAGATCGGCGGCCTCCTCTCTCATGGCGCTGTTGTCGCCAGAGAATATGGTCTGCCCGCAATCGTTGGTCTCGACGGTGCGACGGAGATAATAAAGTCGGGAGATATCGTTACATTAGACGGGAACCAGGGAAAACTTTACAGGACCCCTCCCTCTGCCGACGACTCGACGGAAGGAGCCGTGGAGCACACAGCAGTCTGATGGGGCCGCAACAGGCGCTCTCGGGGTACTCCACGGAATTCCAATCGGATATAAGTGATTGAATTAAATGAGAGAACCCCGTTCGCAGCGCAGGGTGGATGTCTCTCGCCGTCCGGGGAAACGCCAATACTCTAATTGAAGGACGCGTAACCTGATTCGATGCTCTCGATTTCGATCTGAAGAAAATCCGCTCCCTAGTGTCAAGGATAATCTCCCCCGAAGAGCCGGGGCATTTGGGCAGAATCGCGGCTTGAAGAATGGAAAGGGATTTTGCTCAAGACTCGCTGATCACGTTATCACTCAAAGTCATTAATCTAGTGCACCGCTCCCCGTGGTGGGCATTGTCGTTCGCCGAAACCAGCGCGTATCAACCAAGATGAATCCCCCGAACTTTCTTGCTGCTTACCAGTAGCGTTCTCCGGGGGGAAGGTCAGAGGGGGCGGTCCGCCCCGGGCGGCACCATGGGGAAGCACGCCACTGCTGCTTACTCTTGTTAGACGATCATGAGAGTTTGTGGCTTCTTGAGTCAGTGCCCTTTCTCAGCGGAGGAAGATCAGTTCTCTGGGGGACGGGTCGATTCTTATATCGAAGGGAGCCGGGAATACGGTTCTTTGAAATCGTCAAAGAGATGAAGAATAAGGTTACTGTCTAAGAGAGCGATGAAATCTTGTGAATAGAACTAAAGTCAATGAAGTCGTGAAGCTCTGTGCTCGCGGATTTTATCCGATCCGAAGTCTTCATTCGGGGTATTGTTCGCTGGTTTGTCAGCGAGCTCTTGTGGAATTCACGGGAACACGCGGTGGACCGATGGGACGATCGAAGCGCCTAGCTCCTCACTCGCTGGAAGAAGTCCGCTCTCCAGGCTTCTCTTGTTTCATCCGACGGCAACGAGTCGCATACCGGAGGAGCCGATAGAAAAATGGAGTGATTCAGTCCACGAGAGAATCTCGGGAACAGGAGCCCGTAGGTCTAGGTTCCGGAAATGGCCCTCGACGGCGTGGATGGCTCCAAGGGCTCCGTTTTCCCTCACAATTTATCATTTGGGTGTACTATGGCGCTGCTCTGCTTTAACCCGACCGTGATCCGGAGGGGTACCGGTGCATTTCAGGAAGTCAGTGTTCTCCGAAGCTCTCCTCCCGCTCGAAACGGGAGAGTTCCGCATTTTGCGCATGTCGAGCATTCTCGGGTCTTTGTTGAGGATTCGCGCACCCAGCCGCACCCCGCTGCGGCCAGTTTCACCGCACGAGGACGTGATCTACGGATATGCATTAGTCGTATGCAAGACCGTAACTCCAGACTAGCACGGCTCAGGCTCCCTTAATTATCAGATGTGCGGTATCCTGGAAATCATTCTCAGTTCAATCATCGTTCGAGAGTGCTGTGGAGAATCGTTGAATGATTTACGGAGGAATGCATTCACTGAACGAATTTCGCGTGCTGCCCGAGCGCGACAGTGTCGGCTCCACATCCGCCTTCGTCGGCTTTACGTCGATACCGGCCGCGGGCGAAGGCTCGTCGCTCCCAGATTGTTTCCCCTCAGAAGAGAAATTCTTCTTCAGAATCGCCAGGTTCCACGAAACTGGTCACACCAGAAATTTCGGTAGGCCGTACTCCTTCGCAAGCATAGTGCCGTGTGAGAGCAGACCTCTGGCTTCGGTGACAACGCCGCCGAGCAACGGGGAAAACGGCGTCCTACCTGCGGGAGTCGAGCCCTATTTTCGAGCAACCTTCGCACGCCGCCCGCGGGAATTCCATACAATGACGAGAGAATTGAGGAGAAACAGGCCCTTTTCTGATAAGCTGTGACGGTCGCCCTGTGACAGAGGATTTCGCCTTCCTTGATCAAGTGAGCCTCCGTGGTGGAGTCGAGGATGACGCGGGCCGGCTTCCAAACCATTCCGCCACTCGATGAAATTTCCTCGACTCTTCGGGTGTTCTGATCTATCGCTATCGTTGACGCATCGATCTGTCAGGCGATGCGAGGCCTGGAGTCGAATCAATCATCCCGCGGAATCGTAGATCGAGAGAAGAGAAAAATAGGAGAGGGTAGCATCTATTGAACTTGGCTGAGAAAGAAACTAACCCGATCGAGCATCCGGTGGCTCGATGAAAAGGAACTCCACTCAATATTCGTGGCGACGGGAAAGTGAAGCTGAAAAACCGAAAAATTCATCCTCCTAGGTGTTCGTCACAGAGAATATCGGCATAGAAAGCCCTCCGATTTGAGCCGTCCATGCCCATTACTACCGGTCGCGTGATTCGCAGGGACAGTCCGAACGAGTTCATTCCCCGCCATTCACTCTGTCAATCAGCTCCAATGATCAGCGATTTTGTGTTAGTAGAAGCGCCGGACTCTCCTCGTTGGAAACAGTCATGGCTCCAGTCTCAGCCGAGCGGCCTTGATGAGGTAGCCGCTGGCGGAATTGTCTATCACGTTGACGCGTTCCCTTTGAACGATTTAGCGGAGAGAGACAAATCGCTTCGACCCATTCCATTGGAAATTTAACGTCAGTGCAGGCACAAAGTGTAAGGGAGTCGGCTCTTAACGGGGAACGCGATCGCTCTTTTCCCGGATTGAGGTGAGAGAATAGATCTTCTCGGCAATGATTGATCTTTGCTCCCCATGTGAAGTTGAAAAATAGGAATCGAGGTTTCAAAGAAGCAAAGCTGCCACGCTCGAAATCCTCGGCGTGTTGGTGATCTTGAGGTCTCCGGAAATGAGACGAGAGGTGATCACACCCTGCACAGTTCTTTGAAACACGGCTCAGAGGGCTTCCTCATCGAATCCTTGTCCGGTGTCCGCAACGGACCTCGACCGAGGACTAGCGATCGCTAATATGATCGGGATGCTTCGAACCCGTTCTCGAGGACGCGTGATTCTCCGCCGGAACGAATGACTCATTCTGCCGGAAGCGTTCCTTCCGATGCTCCTAGACTTCAACTTGGAGAGGATGGATTTACAAGTAATCTCGCATCTTACAATTAGACCTTAATCCTCAGAACGAAAGGCTACCCTTCTCCTCATCGATATCCAAGGAGATTTCGCTGCTCCTGAGGAAAATCTCGCCGTCGCTCATTCTAGAGACAATGCATAAGATCCTCCCCTCATTCTAGCATTTTACACCTACGATTCTTTCGAGGGGATTGTTTTTTCAAATCACCTAGAATCGCTTTCCTTCCAAACCCGGAACCTATATCTAGTTCCGAATGCAACGACGTAGTCTGTCATGGTTCGATCACATCCAGACTGATTTGGGTCCGCGGGAGGAGAAAGAAGGAAGTGGGAAACTAGCTTCCCGAATCCCATACAAGTTTTTTTCTCTGACGTCGCCACCGGGTCCGAAAGCTACGGCCTGAATCCCGGAAGTCGAGCATATAGACCGGAGTGGCCCTCAAGATACACATCGCAGTCTAGGCAAGGTTTCTCCCCAAGCGAACATGAGGAGGACCTGATGCATCATCCGATCCTGACCCACGGGTCGGGATCTTTCAGCAAGACGTTCTGCTCCATTTTAGGATGACCCGGCTGTCCGGCCTCAAGCGCTTCGCGCGTACTCAATTGGAACGGATAGACGTGCAGCTTCCTCTTGCAACCTGGGAGAGAGTAGCTGATCCTGTGAAATTGAACGCGATCTTCAGTGAAAGAGAATGGAAATTGGAATCCCCGGTTGCCAATCTGACCGAGGTACGTATCGAACGAGATTCCTTCGGATTCTGCCGAATCGACGTCTCTATGACAAAATCTCTTGCTAAGAGAACAGATGGGAACTCCGCAGCCTCGGCAAGACTGGATTCACTGGTTCGCGTGCGATCCGCTCGACGACACCATGGTGGAAATCTTCTTCGAAAGATTCCAGACGGGAGTGGCCAAGGTCTGGATTCACCTGAGAATCCAAGGCCGTTCCCTTCGCCTGTTTCCGAAGTTCTACAAAGACAACAGCGAAGGTGAAAACCAATGCTGTCTTGATCTCTGCAGGCGCTAAATTACTCCCCCGAGCACCCACGGATCGGGGGCTTGAGCTCCGTGGGCTATTCTTTCCTACAAGCGCCAACGGTGAATTAACTCAAATCTCGCTGTGAGCAGGGCACGCATACAGCGCCGGGGGAATTCGTTTGGAGTGTAATGCGCCGTTCAGAAGATGGCGCGTGACTTTCAACCTGATGATGGAGGATCCTGCCGCGGAAGAAACAGTCCACGTGCGTCTGGGTGCCCAGGTTGCCATGACAGGTCATACGATGGAGCTGCCGAAACAAGTCCGACCGTCTTTCCTGGCTCGAAGTTTCCTCAAAAAGGGAACGCCCGACGAAGCGAAGAATGAAATATCAAAGTGAGCTCGAGGAAACATGAGCTCATTTCGGAGATCTCATTCCTTTTTTCCGCATCAATTTGGGAATTTTCTTCCAGATGCTGCACCGAATGTCAAACGATATGTCAGCCTAACTCACTCTTCTCTGAGATAATCATTGATGGCGAGCGACATGAGGGTATGCTGTTCGGGTCCCGTCTCAAGTTTTTCGGTAGTTCGAACATGCTGCGAAATGCTGAAGTACACGTCGGCTATGCTGTGGTGGGTGACTTGGCTCCGTGGATTCACAACATAAGGACCCGAACTAGATTCTCGGAAGTTTCCCGCTGAACGTTCCTCTGTTTTATTCCTTCCCGCCCCCCTCGCGAAGAATGGAACGACATTCACAGCAATCAAAGCAGATGAAAAAGCGTACGGATACTACTGTGAGCCGGCGAATTACTTACAACCGATTCGTAAAACGAGATGGACATCGCAAACACCGCCGACGCTCATCATAGAACTCGGTGAGCCGAATTCGATTTCGAGGAGAGCGGTACCGACACAGAACCTCTACCGTGGTACTGACAATGAGGGGAGCAGCCTGGTTGAGGATGCCGGAGCAACGTCTCCTCTTATGAACTTTTCTCTTCCTAGACGGTCAGAAACACGAGCTCAGAATGAGCGCTCAGATTCCTCCCTATGAATTGGGTAGCCTCAAGTTGGCTAGCAAGACTTTCGAACTGCGAAGCACTGTGTTGGACCTCAGGAGCAGCCTGAGCTTGAACGAAGAAAACTTGAATGTGTGAGTACAACCCGTAGAGGAATTATTTAACGTGCGGGAAATTCCGAATCTTCAGTCTGAAGCCGATTTTCTCATCCTCCCAGTTGGAAGCTGCTGCAGTTCTCAAGCCACCGTACTTCCCATCTACTCCTCACAACGTCGGATGTCGACTGCAAGAACCCCAAACTCACCGGAGGGAAAGGCAGCTCTTTGGCTGTGCTGAACGATGTCTCGAAACACTTGAAAACGGTACGAATATTTTTCACGCATTAGCAAACTCCTCTCAACATATAAAATCCTTATTCCTCGGGGAAAATATCCTAGGAGTTCCTCCGCATCCACAGTTCACGGTACCCTCCGGTATCGTCCTGACAGTGAACGCATATGAGATGTTTTCTGAAACTCCGGAGGTCTCCAAGGCCATCGGAACTTTCCTTGAATCGTCCAAAACGTCCGACCTGGCTGCTCTGAAGAGCGCTTCAGATACTTGTGTTGCCACAATTTCGAAAGTCGATCTTCCCGCTCCAATCCATGCCCTTGTGAGTAGACGCATCATCCCAGGGAGATTCTGCATCGGTACAAACGGATGGCTCAATCGGAACTTCATTCCGCAGCTGATTGAGAAACTTCAAGACGTGTTCGGCTACGATTGCTTCTCGAGGAAGTTCGCCGTGAGATCGTCGGCTGTGGGCGAGGACTCCGAAGAGATGTCGGCGGCTGGACAGATGACGACGTATCTCGGAGTGAAGGGGGAAACGAAGATTTCCTCGGCCGTGGTGAAGTGCTGGGCTTCACAATTCGCTCTGACCGGTAAGCTGAATAATATCGGACGAATTGTACGAATGCGATTTTCGGACTAATTGAACGAAACCGAGTATCGCGCACAATTTCTTCACGTGATCCCCTCTTTCTGGCGTGCAGCTGTCAACTATAAACGTCAATACGGACAAGTTCTGAATGGTTCGATGGCGGTTGTGGTGCAAGAAATGGTCAGCGCAGAGATAGCCGGGGTGATGTTCACCTGTGACCCGACAACCTCGGACCCATCCAAAATATTCATCACTGCGAACTACGGACTCGGCGAGTCTGTTGTCTCTGCAACGGCTGATCCCGATACCTACTCCTTGCGACGGAAGGGGACCGAGGTCGCTCTTCTTGAGAAATCGGTGAGTTCTCCCGAGACCATCCGAAATTACTTCTTGAACCCGGCTAGAATGAAATGTGAATCATCATCTTCTTTGTAGTGCGGCGCAAAAGATCGCATGGTCGTCGAGCTGGAATTCGGTAACGGAACCGAAGATAAAACCATCGCGGCGGACAAGGCGAAGAGTTTCTGTCTGACGGACGAGCTTGCCGTGAGGCTGGCTTCGATCGGAGCCTCGGTAATTGAAAGTTTAAATTTTATTAGCTCAGTCTCTGCATAGGCACCCAGTCTCCGCATAGGCAGGAAGACTCCTCGGAGAGAGGAAATCTCAGATTCCTGTGTTCACAGTTAACGGATATCACCGATACTCCTCGCGATATCGAATGGGCGATCGTCAAAGGTGGAATTTATTTACTTCAATCACGCCCAGTGACGTCTTTCCTTCGCGAGAGTGACTTCGAAATCAGGCATGACTGTAACTCTGGATTCTACACAAATCGCGAGATCTTGAGTCGCGCCAACCTCGAGTAAGTCTCAACATGCAATAACAATTCATTTTTCTGTGCGTTGCGTTTAACTACCCATGTGCAGACCGCAAACCGGGAGTCTCTCGAAACCCTCGACATCCGTGTAAATCCTGTCATCCTTCTCAAATCGATGGAATTTGTCGACCGTAGAGGGAGTACGGAATTCTGATCTCATTGGAATTCGATCCCTCCACAGCGAAGTGATGCCAGGCGTCTTTTCTCCTCTGGGTATCTCGATCGTTAGCCACTTGCTCTTCGCGGCGGTGAATAAGAAGAATGCCGAGTGGGGAGGCACAGATCCTAGTCAGTTCGCAGACCTGCAAAACAGCATATGCGCCAAGAGATCCTTTATGAATTTCTCTCAAGTGAGTTCAGCCGCGAAGGACGCCGAAATTCTTCAAATGGTATACGGAAGTAATCGCAGGCTTGATCCACCGTTTCCAGAAAGGTTTGGCCGAAGACAAGACAGTAATCAGGACATGCGGAATTACCATGTTCGGCTATGATATACGGGAGCACGAAGCCATCAAAAATGGTATCGTTCATGGAGGCTCAGTCTCGGGCCTTGCTTTTCTCAAGAACCTAGTCGGCGTGAGTTCTTCGAATTATTCAACGAGAGCATCCGTGAAAATTCCATGGGAGCGGCTAATACAAGAGTCACTTTTTCTATCGACAGGCCTTGTGGAATATGGAGAACACGGTCAGGGAGGTCCGAAAACGAGCAGGAGAACTGACCGTCGACGTCCCGGAAGATGGGGACGCCTTGAGCCAATTTTTGAGCATTATTTGTCAGGTTCCGAAGATGGACTTCTTTCTGCATGGACTCATGAGGGCTTCTGTGCCATCCGGTATCTACAACATGATCATTTTGGACTTGGTGAAAAAAAGTCAGGGCTTGTCGGACTTTTGCCCCGAACTCATGATCCTCTTATCGAAACTTCTGCGATCCGACCTCGAGGTGGAGAGCGCGCACATCCCAACGGAGCTCACGGTAATTGTTCGTGGAAGGAGCATGCGATTGCTGACTGAGATTCTCCTCATTGAATCTTCTCTAACGGTTTTCAATCGGTCCAAGGCACTCTCGAATCTGCTCAGAGAAGACCCAATGGCGGAGCGGTTCGTCTCGATGGCTCCCGAGGAAGCGTTGGCATGGCTTGAGGCGGACAGCGGTTCAGCCGCTGATCAATTCAGAGCGATACGGTCAAAACACGCTCACCGTTGCTACAAGGAATTCGACATTGAGTCGAAAACCTGGGACATCGATCCCATTCCTCTGGTACAAACGCTGCAAGCCACCGTTCGGTCACCGGAGCAGAACGATCCAAAGAAGGATGAGGAAACCCTCTCCGTGCATCAATTAGCCAAGCGACCGTCCTTCATGCAGCGGAAGATCCTGAATTTTTTGATACCTCGAGCAAAATACGCAGTCTACGCAAGAGAGGCTACGAAATCCGCTCTGATCAAGAGCATTCACGGAATTCGTCTAGCGATGCGCCGCTTGGGGTTGCAACTCCAAGCCGAGGGAAGGCTACCGGATCCGGAGCTGATATTCTTCCTTACGAGCGATGAGCTCTACAGACTAATTACAACGAGAGATCCCAGCCTACTTCCGAGGTGAGACAGCGTGGACTGTGGGGTCGTAAGCGGATAATGAGAAAAATGGTCCCGCTCGACCACGGAATGGAATTAGCACTCCCATGATCCCTGATCCTTCCACAGAGCCCGCCGGAGACAGAAGATGCATCCCTCACTCAACAGAGAGCGATTTCCAGTCCTCTGCTGTGGCATGCCGAAACCCGTAAGTTCAAAGTTCTTGCCGACCGAAGCGAGATCAGAAAAACCCCCTGAGGGAGCTGATTTCAAGTTATTGTTTGCCGAGCAGATCGACTCCTCGACAATTTCCGCGGACCCGGATGCAGAAGGTCTCCAAGGCACTCCCGTGAGTCAAGGCGTGGTCGAGGGACCCGCCCGAGTCATTCTCGATTTCGTAAGTCAGGCGCATGAGATCAAGAAAGGAGAAATTCTCATCACTCGAGCGACAGATACAGGTGGGTGAATAGCGACTTCATTTCAGCAGTCGAACCTCGATGATGAGCGCCGAGCGAGGCGTTCGATCAGAGATTTCAACGACATTCCCTTCCGCCGCAGGATGGACTCCTTATTTCCCGCTTCTCTCTGGAGTTGTCACCGAAGTCGGTGGTCTACTCTCTCATGGCGCTGTGGTCGCCAGAGAGTATGGCCTACCGGCGATCGTCGGACTCATCGGTGTCACTGACATCATCAAATCCGGAGACATAGTCTTATTGGACGGGAACAAAGGGACACTACACAGGTCCATTTATCCCGAGAAAGCGGATGACATGGGAATCTCCTCTCAAGGGCGGGAACACGCCACGATGAAAGAGGACGTCCGAGAATCACGGAGACTCGAAAATGCTCCGGCGGTCTTATCAAAGCCCGGAAATGAGGGCTTAGATTCCAGGAGGGAGGCCGACGGGACGTCCGCGAAATCCCTTGGGGAGAGGATCGACGCTCCACTTGGGGAGAGGATCGACGCTCCACTTGGGCAGAGGGAGGAGACGGACTCCTCTGTGAAGCCATCAGATGAGACGCCCCTCATCGAATGTCAAGCTTAGAAGTTCTCATCGATCATCTATCCAAATTACTGGAACGGACTTCGCTGCCCTCCCGTCTCTGGTTTTATATTACACAGATGGAAAACTGCCCGAAATCTCCCATTTTCATCGAAACTATTGCTGTCTGAAAGATCCCGTTGAGACAGAAGCTCCCCGGCGGGCACGGACTCTCGCCACCGACACACAGAGAAACTCGCGGGAGTGCCATGGGAAATCGTGAAAATAAATCGGGAAAAGGACGACAGTCCCATGAACCGGATGCTCTTCCTGGGTCATTGTCCTGAGGCGTTGCGCAGAGGGAAATCGCGAACGACCGCGGAGAGAAGCGCCAGAACGCTTCTGAGATCGTCGGGTCAATGCATCGGCATGTCACATGCCGTGACATGCTGGGCCATGTGTAGAAACATGAAAGAGACTCGTTTGTCTAGAAACATAGTGTAGTCCCAGCCAAATCGAAGATTCCAATCCGCTCTTTCCGAGATCCGATTTACAAGCTTCAATGCGGAAGTTCCTCCCCATTCCTTGTTTTTCTGGCGCTGAGCCGGTTTCTGGAGAACTCATCGTCCCCGAGGGCCTCATTTGGAAGAATAATCGCGCTGTTCATGTGCGCTTAACATCCTCGACATAAGGGTGACCGCGCCTCATCAGCCCGCGATTGACCATATTCACGGTTTTCCGGGAGTTTGGTTTTTCGTGGGGCCTCAAAGCTAGCGCTTCTCAAATCTGTTCAGCTATGATGATCAGCGCAATTTGACTGCCCGGGAGGGCGGATGGCTCCGGATGATTATGAAATCAGGTAACCAGAGGGAGCCGACTCTCCCACGATAGGGTGCGCTTGTTTTTCTTCTCGTATGGAAATCGCAGAAGCATGCGGTATACCGATGGGAGGATGGACTTCCCAAGGCATCTGGTTCCTATAAAGCTTCGAGAGCCTTGCTCCCCAGGACTCCTCTACGTGTCCTCGTCATCAACGACTCGCATCCCGGAGGAGCTCATAGAATATCGGTGCATTCCGGAGAGTCGGGGTTTCCTGAAGTATTTCTTGTATTCCATCATCGGTAAGTCACAGAGAGAGCCCGTTCCCGCAGAACGAGTCAGGATGCAGAACCCAAACTATTACCAGTAAGATTTTCCTCCACAGAGCGGAGGCCGTCCACGAAGAGCGTAGACATGACCACGCTACACGAGATCACCTGCTAACGGAAGGAGATTCCCCCTCGCTCATTTGTCTTCACGCGGACACGCGGGAGTTCCGCCGACAAGTTGCGCGAAGCGTGGGTATTCTCCGCTCGTCGAGTATTTCCGGATTTTTATTGAGAAAGTTATTCGTAGGATCGGAGCTGCAGGCTAGCACGGCTCAGGCTTTAGCAGATATCAGATGTGCTGTGTCTTCGAAATCATAACCAGTTCCGTCGTCGTCCTCTCGTTCGAGAGCGCTCCGGAGCGTTGTGGACAGATCTTTGGATGACTCCTGCTCCTTTCCGGATCCCGCGGGCTGTTCGAGCGCAACATTATCGGTTCCATCGTCTCCCGCCGTCAGGTTCGCGTCGATATCCGCTGCGGGAAACGGCTCGGCGCTCCCAGTTCGTTCCTCCTCGGATGAAACATTCTTCTGAAGGATACCCTTATGACCGTCGAGAGTGACCGAATCACCAGATTTCACGAAACTGGTCACACCAGCAACACCAACGATCGCTGGTAGGCCATACTCCCTCGCAACCACAGCGCCGTGTGACAGGAGACCTCCGACTTCGGTGACCACGCCGCCGAGAAGCGGAAAATACGGTGTCCAACCTGCGAAAGTCGAACCCTCATTCTCGTGAATTCTTCGTCCATCGCCCTAAGGGATTCCATACAACGACGTTCAGGAGACGCGGGCCCCATTCTGATTACCTGTGTCGGTTGCCCTTGTGACCAGGATCTCGCCTTTCTTGATCAAGTGAGCCTCTGTGGTGAAGTCGAGGATGACGCGGGCTGGACCCACAACTATTCCTTCACTCACTGGGATGCCCTCTATTTTCTGGGCGTTCGGATCTATCGTAATCGTCGACGCATCGATCTGTTAGGAAATACCAGACCAGGGGTCAGATTATTCAGTCCGCAGAATGGTGAGCATGTATTTGATTCGGCCGAAGAAAAGGCTCACCGGTTTTGGCATCCCCAAGATCAATACTGGATAACGTTCCTGATCCAGCAGGGAATGCATCTTCCGTCTCCGCAAGGCTCTGCGGAGAAGCGAAGGTTTCCAATAATCCACGCAGCTCTGAGGCGACAGCGCCGGCGGTTCCACCACCTTCTCGAGAACTCACCTGGGTATCAAAGACGGATCCCGAGTCGTAATGAGACGATAGATCTCGTCACAGCTGAGGAAAAAAATCAATTCCGGGTCTGGAATCTTCCCTTCGGCCTGCAATTGTTGACCCACTTTGCGCATCGCGAGACGAAGCGCGTGGTAGCTCTTGATCAAAGCTGATTTAGTCGCCTCCCGTGCGTAGACGGCTCTCTGCGTCCTTGGGATGAGAAACTTCAGAAGCGCTCTCTGCAGTAAGCTCGGTCGCAGAGGAAGCTGATCAACTGTCATTGAATCGCCGTCCTTCCTAGAGTTATTCGTCTCGGGGGCTCGAGCCGAAGACTGCAGTGTTCTGACCAAGGGTAGTGGGTCTATGCCCCAAGTTTTCGAGTAGAGGTCGAATTCCTTGTAGGATCGATGGGCGTTCCTTGCACGGAACGCCCGGAACTCTGTCGCAGCTGCTCCTCCATCTTCTTCAAGCCACTTCAGTGCATCTTCGGGCGTCATTTCGATGAAAGCTTCGAAATGCCGATCCTCTCGGAGCAGGTTGGAAAGGCTCTAGATGGGGAAAATGGGAAAATCTCGAGAATAACTCAATCCCAGCTCCCTCGGTCCCGTCGAGCGTGGAATTATTCTGCCTCAACTCACCGTGAGCTCTTTCGGGATCTGAGCGCTCTCGACTTCCAGATCCGAGCGAAGGAGTTTGGATACCAAGAGCATGAGCTCTGGCGAGAAATCATCCAAATGTTGACTGCTTTTCAGAATGTTCATCGTGACGACATTGTAGAAACCGGCCGGCATGGATGCCTCCATGAGTCCCCCCATGAAGTGGACCAAAGAAGGCACATGGCGAAGAACTCTCAAGAACAGAGAAAGGGCATCACCTTCCTCCGGCAAGTTCACGCGGAAAAGTTCGGCCTCTGAGTGCATTCTCTTCGCGAGGGCCACGGGATCGCGGAGTGCCTGCGGGGGGAATGGTCTCGAGGCCCTCATCGATATATTCTAAGTCTACCCCGCCCCTCGGCCTACCGGAAACCCAAGATCTTGGATACAAGGCATCGTATTCTCTTTGGAGATGGCGTGTTCCCAGAAATCGGCTAGCCTCAGGGAGACAGGCACCTTCTGAGACGCCCGAGGGGGCGCTTCCTCCATCTGTCTGCCGATTTGTCTGCTCCCTACTCCTGGTCGAAGGGTCTAAAGCCCTGACGAGCGCGTCTAAGGTCCTCGGACACTACCTGGTGCCCGCATGCCCCTGCTTGTTGATGGATGACCGCTCGGGGAAATCGTTTTTCCATAGCCCCAATACTCACAGAGAGCATCGCCACGACCGCACCCAGACCTTTGGGTTTCTTTGTCGGGTGGACGATACCATCCTTCAAGGCATCGTGGGCGGACACGTCGTACCCGAACATAGTCACCTCCATCATCTTCATAATGTTCTCATTCCCGGCGAAGCCACTCTGCAAGGCAGTCGTCGGAATCAGAGCATTTTTTTATGGACTAGCTCGCGGAGGGGCGGCCCTATAATTCTCGAAAGGAGCTGCGAGATCCGATTGTCATTCTATGACTTGATTAGTGGTAGAAAATCAAAGTATTCTAAGTTAGAGACGATCGTCAACCTGGGAAAAGTTCATGTAGGTTTTCTTCCCGATACAGGCATCTTGGAAGAAGACGTACTGGCTCGGATCATTCATAGACCACTGCGCATTTTGCTTCCCGAAAAGCTCGAACACTAGGTGATTGCACACGGAGATCCCCAGCGTGGAGAATGCACCAGGCATGACTTCGCTGTAAATTCACAATGACGCTCATGTTCAAGTTTGAGCCGATGTAGCAGGTGCTACATGGTTTCCCACCATGATCAATTCTGATTGAGTTCTTCTGCTCTCGTTGCCACTTCGAATCGAGCAACCGGAGTAATCGAGGACGTTCGAACTCACTCGAGGTTTGCGCGGCTCAGAATCTCTCGATTGGTATAGAGCCCGGAATTGAAATCATGCCGAATTTCAAAGTCACTCTCGCGAAGAAATGACGTCACCGGCCGAGATTGTAGCAGGTATACTTTCCCGTGAACGACGGCCCATTCGATGTCTCGGGGTGAATCGTATACATCCGTCAACTGTGGAATTCGATGCACGTCATTTATCTTCCTCAAAATGAACTTGAGATGTACTCGGCTGGAGCTAGCGATCGGAAGGAAAAGAATCATGTAGAATTCGTGTACCAAAGCTCCGATCGATGCGATTTGAATCGCGCGAATGTTCGATAAGCAGAACCTCTTCGCCTTCTCCAAATCAACGATCGTTTCTATCGTGCCACTCCCAGATTCCGATTCTACCACCATGCGATCTTTGACACCACGCTGGAAAAAAACGATCGCTGCAAGCACTCCGACCACGAAGCATCGAATTGCGTAGGGCAAATGAGATTCCAGCTCATGGTCATAATCGGCCTGTCAGCTTGTGAATCCCTACCGATTTTGCGATCAAGAAGACTTCCGCTCCGTCTCGGCGGAAAGAGAACGTGTCGGGATCAGCTGTGGCGGAAACCACCGATTCTCCCAGGCCGAAATTCGCGGTGATGGAAATCCCTGTCGGATTCGATGTCACTGGATCGCAGGTGAACATAACCCCGGCACTGTCGGCGCTGACCATTTCCTGCACAACGACCGCCATCTGACTCTCTAAGTCTTGGCCGTACTGGCGTTTATAATTGACGGCTGAAATGAGGTCAAAACATGAGATAACTCGATGAAATTCGCTCTGATAATAATCATTGTCGGAGTCGAGCATTCTCTCTAGGTTAGGAATCTTCGTACCCGTGAGAGCGAATTGCGACGCCCAGCATTTGACCACTGCAGAGAACACCTCTTCTTCCCCTTGCACCCCCAAATATGTGGTCATCTGTCCGGCTGCCGACATTTCCTCGGAGTCTTCACCAACGGCAGAAGAGCGCACCGCAAACTTTCTCAATTTCCAGAGTTCGCCGAAGACTCCACAGAGTTTCTCATTGAGCTGCAAAGAGCGCGAAATGATAAATTAAATTGATTTCTCACAGGCGAGCCAGGTCCCTCTCACTTGAGTGAACGGTGCTTGGAGAGGCTCGGCAGAAAATCCTTGATTAGAAAACGAGCTTCAGCTATCGAGGAGGCGGTGATCCTATGGGAACATCCCTGGCGAACATCACTTACCGATTCCCGGATCAGATCCGGTAGATCAGCATTCGATATGGCGGAGACGCATTTATCCGACGCCACTTTCAAGTCGGCCATCCCGGCAGTTTTGCTCGCGATCAGGAAGTTCTCAATAGCCCGGGATACTACCGGCGTTTCAGCGAAAACAGCGTACGCCTTGACTGTCAAGACCACAGCCGACGGTACCTTGAACTATTAGGGGGGCGAGAGATTAAAATTGGGCAATCTCGTCTCGGACTCGGACTTCCCTGTCAAATGCGATTCGCAGCACACGAGGAAACCACGAACCGTTCTGAAGTGATTGGAGAGCTCAGTGAGCACCGCCAGCGAGGCGCCTTTACCCCCTGTGAGTTTTGGATTCTTGCATGACGGTTCGGAAACGCTTAGAACCAGAAAGTCGCTATCTTGCGTTGGAAACTGGAGCAGTCGGCAGCTGGAAGAGGTAGTTTCATCAGGCGGAACCATCGGAGCTGTGGCATCTCCGCCCGGAAACGTCAGAACGTGAAGTATTTTGCGGGAAATTCCAAGATTCGGTCGCGAATATGTCCTCCTGCCCTTCCATGCGCACTCTCAAGTTGAAATCGAGGCGATTCTGGATGATTCTTAGCGATCAATTCCGAAATACTGGATTCGATACTCACAGCTGCAGTTTTCCGACAGGACGGATATTTTTCTCGAATAATTGAAGTAGTGCGCTCTGCAACTTGAAATCCTTGCCCCCCGTTGTGAGGCGTCCCGCGCCGTCGTATTTGGAGGTATGATCCTTCCCGGAACTTTCGGTCCATCCACCGTTCCAATCGAAATCGGGCAGGAGCTTATGTTTGGTATCACCTGATTCAATTCAAGATGAAGTGCTTATTGCTATAATCTCCTTCAGTCGCGGGCCTTGACCTCCCCCACTTAGGAGAGCATTGAGGGAGGCCTATCCTCGACTCACCAACTTGAAAACGGAGCTTCACATCGCGGTCAGGACCGTCCCGTTTATCGAGACTGCACTTGGTTTTCCGAATCGATTGTACGAATTTCACGGGGTCGCAACAATATCCATACGCCTTTGATTGCACGTTTATAGCTGTCAAGGTCGTTCCGTTCTGCGGAAGGTATTCAGGATCGACTTCCGAATATGAAACGAGAGAGCATTGGAAGGAGGAACTAATTGGCGCCCGTCTCGTGTGATACCGACCTCAGCGTAGCCGAAATAAATTGGGACATCCTCCAGGAGATCCGAATTCCCGAAACACTTCAAGCGAGAGCCGAAGAGCATCAGCTCGTTTCTTTGTCCATCCGTAATGATCTCGGTGAAGACTGAGACTGGTTGAGAAATTGCTTGGCATCCGCTACAGCATCTGAAGCGATCGGAGATGGACATGTGAAGATCTCAAATTCTTCCGGAGGGGACAGCCTGAGCCGCGAATACTACTTACCTCGAAATCTTCTCTTTAGCTCTCTCGTCACCCTCACTCTCGTATCTTCGCGCCAGGAAAGAAGGTTTGACCTGCTTCGGCAACTCAAAAGTGTGGCCGACCATGGCGACTTGGACGCCTATCCGAACATGGATTTTCACGCCGTCGAGGTCTTCCATCATGGCATTCACAGCGAGTCGCCATCTTCTCATTGGGGCAACGCATTCCAGACGGATCCCTCCCGCGCTGTACGCTCGCTCTGGAATACGATTAGGTCTTCTGTATCCGACCGAGGTTCAGGAGCTGGAAATCATTCGATGTTCCGGACCATCAGTTGTAGAGCGTTTCTCGCCCACCATCGCTGTTGTCTTTGCAGAAAGTCTCCCGGAGAAAAAGGAAGCGGCCATTGATATTGAGACGAACGAAAACCAGCGCGAGCTGCTCTTTGAACCGTCTGAAGAATATTTGCAAGAATGTGGATTCCGAAGGATCGCTCAGGAACCAGAAGATCCAGTCTCGTCTCTCCTGGAGCCGATTGAGGAAGTTACTCATCTCGGTACATCACGGTGCATACAATGGTGTCAGGATGGAAAACATCAGTTTTCATCACGAATGAGATAGACGGCCCTCGACGTCTCCGAATTGAGAGGGAAGAGCAAAGGAGGAAGCGAAGAGACAGGCTCCGAAGAGCGGGGGATGATCGACATGAATGGTGCAGAACAGATATTGGTATCAAGCGTGGATGAGTACGAACCTCCGTCATGGTGCCGATCGGTGAGTCCAACTGCCATTCCCTCGATGAGTAGAGAGCATTATTCTCAACCGGATCCGTTCCAAGCTCCCAAGTCGATACTGGTAACTCCAAATTCAAGTAATGCAAGCGGGAACGCGCAAAGCGCTTGAGAGCCGAGAGACTCCCCATCTGAAGGATATCGAACTTAACGCTCAATAAAACATTCCTCTTAAGCGCAGTCCTAGCCGCAACCATGAATTTGAGTTTGAATCAAGCGAAGATCGATCGGATCCCCGACTGTTCGTCCACCGAAGTCGTTGTTCAGGCTTACTCTGAGGATGCGACAGGATTTCTTTTCGGAGTTTTTTTTCGATTTCGTTCCCGGATCATTGGAGCACGGATCCCGTCTTTCTCGCTACGGAACTCCCCGCGACATTCTCTCAATTAATTTCGTCATTCGGGTCGCCTAGAAGCTTCTCGCATAGATCTTGTACCCTAATCCCATTTGTTCGAGAGCTATCCGCGCTTTCCAATTGTCACGTCTCCCAAGAGAAAGACAACTGCCGACCGGACGGGTCGATTCGGCAAGCGAGATTTTCTATCTTGTAGACATAGCTGTCCATCGTGACGAGTATACAGCGGAATAATGGTTGGACAAGGGACAGTCCCGTTATGCTTTAACGACTAATCAAGGTCACGCCATTGACGACAAATTATTACCATGATTGTTCTTGACTCCAGACGACATCCAGACTCAACCTGAACAAGCATGCATGTTTCGCTAAAGAGTACTGTCCGGAATCCCGGGTTTCATATGAAGCTCGGCGCTCCCTTCGGCAACTCTTCGAGCTAGAGCTTCTCCATAAGCTCTCCTAGAGTAGCTCCAGGGGGAGGTCGGTCTCTGATCGAAAACACGAAACCGGCTGGTGGAGCGAGGCTTGGAAACGCGGGATTCGGAGATGAAGAGTTCAGTGTTCAAGAACATGCAGACGGTCGAGCTCACCTCAACCGTGGTGAAATTTTCGGACAGCTCCTCGAATATGGGGCAATCGTCTCGAACACAGGCAGTTGGCAATTGACGGAGGGAAAGCAATGCGATCCGCAGGGTGGCGACATCTCGCCTTGTGGGAAAGCGTAAGGATTGATCGGCGGACTCGGCCACGTCCTAGCAAGATCCAGGGAGAGGCAAGAATCTCTATCAATGGTCGAAATATCAGAGATAACCTACTCGATGGAACTCGATGGATCTAGCGACTTCCGTCAAAGGGGAGCTCAGAAAAACATTGTCCTAGTGTATGATGGAGCAGCGGCCTCGCATTCCGCGTCACTATATGCCTGCGTTATTCGGGATGCTTCGTGATGATGATCGAGATTATCCCCCGTAATCCTCACGGCCTCGCGATCACCGCACCGTAAAAGGAAATACTCCTGACCGCGAATGAGATTGACGCGATTCTGCAGGTTCCCGGAGCCCGTCCCGCCTGCCTTAGCTCTGTCGTCGCCATCGAACTTCAATGGAAGGCACCGATCTCGCTGGATTTGTGGCTATATCGAAGATGATCCCTGGCATTATTAGGGAACTGAATCCGCCAAAGCGAACGCTGATCGACCCACGCCTTTGAATATCGCGTTCGGATATCGGGAGCTCTCGACTCCCCAGGGGAGACGGTCCTCAACCCATTGCAGATCGAGCCCTTGATTATTTATCGTCAGATCTCGGGGCAACCCCACTACCGGCATCCTGCTGCTGAGGTCCAGCGAATCCGATCTCTCCATGAGGTGAAACATCGAGCCATAGTGCTCCAATTCAGCGACGGTGTAATGGAAACAGAGTCGGAGGTTCAATTGTCATCCGACGCAAGGCTCTCAGATTGAAACGGAATAGTCTCGGCTTCACAGACTGACTGAGAGGAGTTCATCCTACTTGCAGCTCGATGCTCCCCGTCTATTCTTCTTGTATCCCAGTCTTGTGTTGTGATAATGTGAGCTCTCAACGGTCTCCCTCGTGGAATGATCGGCAAGCTCGCTCACTAGGGCAAGCGAAGTGCAGCGCTTCCCGGGGATCTTCACCTTGACGTCGGATCGTAGAGGCTCTGGACGAAATCCCTCGATCAGTCCGAACAGTCTGAGATATACTCAGACATGGATATTCCCGCGGAAGCTCATCACGATGTTCTCAGGCTCCAAGTCGGAATGACCGCTTGAATGTAGCCGTCTCGGCTTGCTGCTGCCTGATAGAAGCTGATGGAACATCGAACGCATCGACCGCGTCGTTCGCGGCAACTATCGGAAATGCTGAGCTAAGCTTCCTTCCAGCAGCTCTATCACAATGACGTCATGCTCTTCACTCGCGATTTTTGCTCCAAACGAAGGGAAGAACCCTATTCTTTCTCTATGCGGTGTGAACGTGATTCTTAATTTAAATATAATCTCACAATCAGTTCTGTGATACTCCTGCGGAAATGTTCCGCGTTCCAGCGAGGGAGAGTTTCGGCAGAAACCTGGCGACCGGTGTTGTTTCTGCTCAACTTAAGGAACTAGTTCGGTATTTGTCACGCGGAAGCGCACAACGATGACTCTCAATGATAATGATAAATTGATGAACCAACCTTGTAAACATCGCCGACGGACGCTCGTCCGATGGTCCTCCGATCTTAAAGGATTGTCGCCATTTTCAAGACCTAATGATGTGAGATCGGAGCGTTGTTCCCGTTGGTCCTCAAGGTGCTGGACGGTATTGTCACCTCGTGGCAGCCGTCTAGGCTGCTTCGCGTCACACTCACACTTCTCGAGGGCTGGGGAAGCATTACGTCTAGTCCGAAACGTACGGGGAAGACGGAATTTATCACATCGACGACACTGGATTTCTCCATTTTTCCAGAATTTACCTATGCGACGGAAGGAAGATCGGATCAAGTGTGTCCTCGCTCAGATTCTCTTGAGAGCTACCGCAGACCGAAGGATTCGTGCTCAACTTCCCACCTCGAAGATATCCTTGGAGTTTGCTGAGATTCTAAAAAATGCTTAGGTTGCGGTCGGGGAATCCAGATATCGATCGCGGCCTTCTTGAGACTCGTCCTCGATGGATACCTATTTCTTTTTTTTCGAGCCCCTAAATTACATGGAAAATCAGTGTAGCGTTCCTTGTTTTATTAGCGACACTCTCTCTGTCTCACTTGTAGAGCAACTCAAGCATCCCTCGATTGTCTGGATCTCTCATCACGTCATGCTTCAAATGTCTCAGCATCGCCGACCTGTACTCGATGTCCAACATCCTCATAGCCTTCAGAACCGATAACGTCACTTCGAGCGGGTAGAATCGACGCTTCTGGTTTCCTTCGCAATATGAATAGACTTTTGAAGCCGCGAGGACCCTGTACACATACTGTTGGGCATAAACCTCCTCACGACTCTGCCTGAAGCGGAGTTTGTGTCTTTTCCGCAGTCTGAGTTTAGCGCTCGTTGCCACGGTAGAAGAGTCGGAATCTTCGCTTTCTTCGGTGGTTATCGAGCTCGGAACGGGAGTCGCTTCTTTCTGCTTGGTCTCATGGTCAGGTTGTGGCCTTCGCGGTCTGAAGGACAAATTCGGTCTATCGCGCCGGAGTCGCAGTCGCCACGCCATCCCAACTTCGTTTTCTAAATCGTCTAATCGATAATCCGCCTACTTCCCAGACAAAATATTCCCCTCATTGCGGCCAACTTGGTTCGATGGCCAACTTCAATTGACGGAAGTCTGTCGAGATCTCCTGAGCTCTGATCGAGACGAGATGCACTCGGGAGGGATGCGAAACTCGCAATGCAGAAACGATCGAAATTGCTGGATGTCCATGAGCAGAACCGCCAGAACAGCCCGGCACTGCGGGTCGCGCGATGCTCTCGCCTGCATCCATATGAGCGAGCATCGATACTAGAGCAGAAATGAGATCAAATCTTTAGCGTATTCTCGAACTTTATTAAGTCAATGGGAACGGTCTCTGATACGGTCACTTTTTCGTCTTCATGGGTCGTTGTAGTTCTCACAAGTAGCTTGTCGATGTTTCTCGCAGAACTCACGAAGCTTTGGTGGTAGAAATTCCTCAGCTTGTCGTTTGGTCACTAGCAACGCTGCGATACAAGCTAACGGCTTCACGCCGAGAGAAGACAGGAATTTTTCGTTTGTTCCTTTGTAGGTCAGACGGCAGCAAGTATACATTGCTAAAATTTTTAGGAAAGGAGACGGCAAGTCGTAGGGAGAATCGAGGATTAACTCCAGGGCCGTTGGAGTCAAGCCGCTCGAGGGCTCGAAGCTCAGCCACTGAGCTCTGTCACTTGCTCGAGGACAAATCCGCCGCAGCTCAGACAAGGCCTGCTCTCGCTGCGATGCGCGGAAAGCCACATTGGCGCCATGGCGGAGTAGAACTTCGGCTGCGAAAGCCAGGTAGAAAGAGTCTCTGCTGGTTTCAATTGTGCGGAACTCGTCCGCAATCAGGCTTAACATGAGGTTGGACGCCGGTAAAGGGAAAGTTGGCCCAGCCACCGAAATGAAGCCGGAAAGTGCTGCCACCAGTTCGGCCATGCAGTGATTGGAGGCAGCGTCGAACAGCATGACAGCTTCTTCGGCATCAGGTAATCTGATGCGAGTCAATGTTTGGACTGCTTTGCAGAAGAATTCAATTCGCACGAATTGGAACTCCACCGAACTTGCGAGAAATTCGGTACGATGGTTCATGAGAGCCAAATCTCCAAACGTCGCGAAATGTTTGAAAACCCAGCAGTTATCAGCTGGTCCGGAAATCCCATAAATATCGAATGGGATCTTGTCGAAATGGAACTCGGCCAGCATGCAGCATTGAACGAGTGTCTCGATATATTGACCATTTCTCAGCTGAGATTCCAACGCTCGGATGTCGGCCAGGCTCGTGAAGCAGCGTGCGGGTCTCGGTTCCTGACGCGGGCAGTCTCTCGTATCTCGGATGCTCTGGGCTCTCCGGAAGTGTAGCAGACCAGTGGCTCTGAGCAGCTCCATCCCACTATGCTTTAATCGGAGGATTTGGAGTATCTCGTGGCCGTCGGCGAGATCAGTAAAACTTCGACAACCTTCGAAATATTCATCCATGGCTGCATCCATTGGTTGATCCTCCGAGTCGGCGCTATCCAGGGTGAGCACTCAATTCCCGGTTTCTCCGCATAGCTCCCCCATCCGGCTACGGTCTCTCGATCGGAACAATGAAATACGATGTCTAGGCGCTGTCACAATTTGAGATTTCAGACATTGTACTCTAGTCCAGGGCTGGCACCGATCACGATCACGAGGTTCAGACTGGGGCAAACCTGCCACCGGAACTGATGTGAAATGAGGACACTGAAGTTCTTCCACCTTCGCGCACCGCCACCGGGTCTTGCACACTAGGATTTTTTCTTTTTCCCTATCAGCCGACCGAGCGAACCATCGGTCTTATCGCTGATACTTCTCTACATCATCATTGTTTTTACCCCTCTCCCTCTAGCTGATTTGTGCAAGCTCCCTCGCGTGGCGCGCGTATTTACTTTCCCTACCGGAATACTTTCCTCAAATACACATATCCAACCCTCGGCAGCCGATAACTGCAACACACGATCGGTCGCTACCGGAGTAGGAAGAAATCCCAAAGCTCCGAAAGGACATCGGAACCGCCGTTCTTTCGAAACGATGGAACTTCCGGCAGGGAATGCTTTCGGCGTTCTGGAAGCGGTTCCACTCGGAATAACTGGCCTACCTCAGATCGGCAAACTCACGGCGACCGGTGAAACAGCGATCACTCGAAGTAGGAGAAATCTGCCTCTTGAAAGAATAAAGCGCCCCAAGATCTGAATGGCCTCGGGTACGGGTGACAGATCTACACCCCAGCTCGCCAGACAAACGAAACGTACCTGCGCGTTCAAGTTCGGAAATGGAAAGACTCTCATCAGGCCGACGGAGCTACTATATCCACTGGAGCCGGAGAGCTGGGACCCCTACTTTAGATATCAAATCGACCACATCAAGGTCCTGTTTCCGACGGAGCCATCTGCCAAGCGAGCGGATCCAAAGAAACGGACCTAAGCTGATCTGCGAGGGAAGCGCAGCAAATCTCCGGAGCACCGCGCTATCAACACTATACATAATCGTCTTTCCTTATCGAAAACAAAAAGAAGCAGAATATCGCATTCAAGATACAACTTTATTAGACGACTTCGCATTCCTCCATCTCGCTGTCCCCGTCGCTGATTTCGCCCTCCTCGGGCTATTCGGCTTTTTCGATACGAATTTCGAGGGCTCCATCACTATCGTCCGAGTCCGGATCGCAAATTCGGATTCCAGCGAGATGTTGCGGTACGGGCAGGGCGCGAGCGGCACGGGGGCCCGATGGACCGGGAAGCCGATACTCTGAGCTGTGTCGCGGGAGACGGAGCCAAGTTCGCGGAGCTCGGGCTAAGCTTTCGGGGTAAAGCCGGTTTTCTCACGGCTCCAGTCGAGTCCTCGGGCGAGTCGGTTGCTTAGTCTGGACTCTGGGCGGCTCCGGAACTCGGACTCTCGGCCATAATGTTCGCCACGTGTTCGATGGCGCGATCGACCTGCACGACGGCAGTGGTAGGAGCGGCGAACGGGCCGGCAGAGGTTGGTCGGACGGCTCGGCGGGAGAAGGGACCACTGATGTATTGCGGAGCACCTTCGGGGTGAGTGCCTAGCGTTCGAAGCTCTCGGAATCGTCCGACATCATCTTTGTTTGTACGGTCCAAGCGGCATTCCATTACACTTCCTCTGAACATTCGTCCCCGTGCGCAACGGTTGTGCGGAATCGATCTCACGCAC